ACAAAATCATAAGTCATTTATGCATGACTTCTTTGGCATTTTCAACAGAACAATCTCCTGTTTCATCTAGATAACCGAGGAGCAGATGCTCTGCAGAAGTATATAAACGTCAGTAACTGCATATATCGATGAGCTCAGTATACAAGTTCAGTAGAGCAGTGTCTTGGAGGAAAAAGAAGGAAAAGGTCTAGCAAGCAGTGTTGCCAACTTAGCCATTTTGTTGCTAAATTTAGCAACTTTTCAGACTACCCTAGCAACTTGTTCTTCCAAAAGCACCTAGCAACATATTTAGCTATTTTTTTCATTAATTTGGCAACTGTCAGCAACTTTTGATAAGTGACTCAAACAATAAAAACGCGCAATTTACCATTTAAATTACACAAAAAGAGAAAAGCCAAAGATGCTTAGCAGTACACACATCACAGGAATTAAGTTAGCTGCTATTTGCAATTGTTTAATTTAATAGTAATAATAATAATTTCATAATTGAATATTGTTCATTTATGAGACACTTTGTTAGTAGCTTGTACCTGCGATTGTTGATGAGTTAGTCGCAGGTTGTTTTTCACCACCTTTTCCATTTTTCTACATATTTTTCTTACAGTGTACTAGGGCTGGACAATAATTCAATATCAATATGTATCGCGATATAATTTTTTTCAAGAACGGTGATATGATTTTTAAACACATTTCCGATATTTCGATATACATTACCAGTGTTTCCCATACATTGATTTATTTGTGGCGTTTGACTTCGTTGAATAAACCTGAGCACTGCACGTTTCAACATCAAAACGCGTCGCGGGTGTTTTATATGAATGTATCTCTGAAGGGAACCGACTGTCTTCAGAATAGTTTAGATGGCATTTTTATCTGATAAAGTAGCGTTCATGAGCGGAGCTGCTTTGTTTACAGCCATTACTGGAGAAACCGATCGTGATATAAATTTTGGCCATATCGTCCAGCCCTACAGTGTACTAACTGTTAGTACACTAAGAAAAATATGTAGAAAAATGGAAAAAGTGCTAGTAATTTTCTAGGACATTATCCGTTGTAACCCGAAAATGCGTAATTAAAAATGCAGGTAAAAAAAGAACCTGTGGAAAAATCATTACAGAAAATTCCTTCATATTAACACCGTAGATTGTGCACTATTTTTTTTTTTACCGACTTTTCTTAGAGTGTAGCATACTAACTAACTACCAATACACTGCTTAAAAGTGTAATTGTTCAGAATTTGTAGTTTTACTTGTTTACTAGCTAATAATAATAATAATAATAATTAAAAAAGCTTAAATTGTAATCGTTCAAAAATGTGTACGCTTTCGATAATTCCGTGTATTTAAAAATTGTTATTTATATTTTAATATGATATTATTACGAACAAATCTAAATGAACACATAAAAATATATGTTTTTGCTGAGATTTGACAATTTTGCGACGTTATCCCTTAATGACGTCACAACATCATTTAGCAACAAATCAACCTTCCTTTAGCAACTTCCCCTGAAAATTAGTTGGCAACACTGCTAGCAAGACATGTGACTTACCCAGTGCATAGAAGGTGCTGCGGTCCATGCTGGCAGCATCTTTAGGGTCAAAGAGCACAGAGGCCACCACTCTCCGGCTCAGCAGATTAGAGTCATTCTGAGGCAGAGCCAGCCGCTTCAACTGATGGGCTAATGATGTCATCTAGAGACATAATATAATAAAATGAGAATTTCTGTTTTCATACACAAGTAACCATTGTGCAGATATGACCACACATTAAATGACATTTTACATTAAGAAATGTAGTTGAAAGATCCATGAAGGATTTTTTTCATTGTGAATCATTTTCATGAGAATCAAACATACAGTATTTACCCTTTCCAAAAATGTCATATACAGTATTTACCCTTTCCAAAAATGTCATATACAGTATTTACCCTTTCCAAAAATGTCATAACTTTAAGTTTTTTAGTAACTTTCATTAATGTCAATGTGATCCTCATTAGATTATTTTCTTACTAATACAATCATGAGTAACAACCTGTCTGAAAATATTTATTTTGGCTTCTTATGGGAGAAACGTGACTTGACAGACTTCGTGAAACACATACAGTCCGCATACGTGGTGGACCACATGATTATGCTGATACTCCAATATTTATACTTCCTTATACCGAGGGAAAAGACTGAGATGTTTAAAAGTATGCATATATAGTTCAAATAAGCTGTTCTACACCATCGTGATGGCAACACAGAAAAAAGTTTTTCGCATAAAGGATTAAACGTTCTGATTTCGCCAATGCGTTTAAAAGAATACATATATTCCCGTACCTTTGATTGAAGTTATCACACCAGTTTCCACGTGTGTGAGTTTGCTAGTGCAGTTTTCCTCTCTGTTCTGCTTTCGGTAACAGATCAACCAATTGATGTTATACTGCCACCTAGTGCATCGGATGGTTTGTAGCAAATTGAACGCGAACAGACAACATTTGAAAACCCAACAAAAAGAGCGTGCCATGCAAGCTATAATAATACCTTTGTACTAAATTGTCGTTCATATTTAACACAAATAGTTTTATATAGGAAAAAAGTTTTTAAAAATTGTCAAATGTTAGGACTATCTTTATTTTGCTATTATTTTGGAATTGTGACAGTCTGCCGAAGATAATTGACGCACAGTTTCAACTGTCATCTTTAAAATAACAATATTAACCCATCTCAACAATGATTCTTAAAAGGTGGCAAATGGAGGTAGCACATCTTCTCATATCCAGGTGCATCTCAATAAATTAGAATGTCGTGGAAAAGTTCATTTATTTCAGTAATTCAACTCAAATTGTGAAACTCGTGTATTAAATCAATTCAATGCACACAGACTGAAGTAGTTTAAGTCTTTGGTTCTTTTAATTGTGATGATTTTGGCTCACATTTAACAAAAACCCACCAACTCACTATCTCAACAAATTAGAATATGGTGACATGCCAATCAGCTAATCAACTCAAAACACCTGCAAAGGTTTCCTGAGCCTTCAAAATGGTCTCTCAGTTTGGTTCACTAAGCTACACAATCATGGGGAAGACTGCTGATCAGACAGTTGTCCAGAAGACAATCATTGACACCCTTCACAAGGAGGGTAACCCACAAACATTCATTGCCAAAGAAGCTGGCTGTTCACAGAGTGCTAT